TGTACTTAATTAAGCAGAAAATTAAGAAAAATAAATTTGTAGAAAATTACTAAGAAAATTTATATAAAATTTGTATAGTTATTAAAAATAATAACTAAATAATATTTATAAAATTTGTCGATATCTAAAAGAAACTAATGATATTACGATTAAAAATTTATTAAATTTTTTAAGAAGATGTAAAAAATTTTGGAAGTCTTAGTTATAAAATTGTATTATTATACAAGTAAAATTAAAAACATTTCCAAATTTATAATGCATATTTCAATATATTTTTTTAGTGATAATTTGATTTTAAAATTATTACCATATTTTAAAAAGTTTACCAAATCACAAATAATATATAGGGGATAGAATAAAAACTATTTTTGGCTGGGAATCTTGTATCTAGCTATCTATAAATACTTCTGATGAACAACGTTTTTACTCACTTTTCAATTACACAATTTACCAAAAACTAAAAAAGAAAATCGTTGAAATGTAATGCGGAACGCGTTCCTTTGAATAGTTTGCACGCTTAAAAACAAATTCATCCGAAATTAGAAGACAGCTTAACTCGTTCACGTGCTTGAGTAACGTTTTCAGAAGTTTCATTACGCCTAAAGAAAAAAAATAAAAAAAAGTTTCATTACAACTGAATGTGAACGAGTTTCTAGTTTGACCATTAATTGTCAGAAAATGACCATTATTGCACGGCTCTCCTCTACTTCGCAACATGTAGTTTAAGGGGCGAAGCTAGACTTTTTTTAAACTAGGTGCAAAATAACTGATAAAAATAGTTTAGGGGAATTGAACTATGGTTTGTCAGAAATTATGGGTGCACATTACCAAATTAACCATTAAACTGCTAAATCTTTAAAATATAGTGGGTGCACATGCACCCATAATACTCAACATAGATTCGTCCCTGAACAGATATATTTTCTCTTCTGAAAAAAAAATACAGCAGATATATTCTTTTGGAAGAACCCAACAACAAATTCAAACATCAATACAACTTCTTCACTGACTGTTGTCTTTAGCCAGACTGACGAATGCATCTGAGAGACCATCATAGCTCGGAGAGAAACCTGCCTTTTACGAAACTACTTCATCAGTGGTTCACCCAAAAGTAATCTACAGAAAATCCATGCGAGCAACTGTGAATGCTGTGTCGTTTTGGTCATTGGGTTTCATGTGGATCTATTCGTTTAATGAAGACGAGAGAATGTTGGCCCGTTTTGAGCCCACACGAGTTTAAGCTCTTGATGAGCTAGAAAAGATTTTGTAATGGTGGTTTTTGCGTAACAACCACCTTCGTCTTCGGTATATCATCGAAATAAGTTACAAGGAGATAAGGTGAGAATTACACAGAGAAAAAAACGAGATAAGGGAGAAACGATTATAGCTGGGTGAGAAAGAGAGATCAAGATAGAGAGATCCAGTAGTGTTCATAGCTGGATTAATTTACTTGGATGGTAAAAATGGTATGTCCGGTTTGGTCTTGGCTGAATGCTAAGAAGTGAATTGAACCGGTTTGATCTCCAATCTTGTTTGGGCCGGAACGATCATGGTTCTTTTCTTGGCTAGCTAAGTCTTGAGCCATGATCTCTTGGACAGCTTGAGTAAACCATTCTCTTATGACACGAGCTCCACTTCTTGTGGTTAGACCTTTGCGAACCAAGGGAACCTCAGCTTGGTTGACAGCAACAGATTCTCTCCTAGAGCGGGACAAGCAACCTGAAACTTCCCAGAGATGTTAGACCTGTTCTGCTCACCACAAACCACCACGCCATCATCCCACACCGCTTACACCGATGCTAGAACTAAGATAAGATAAGGTAAGATAAACACAAAAATCCAAAAAAATCGAAGCTATGAACACATCTGTCATGTCTCAAAATCGGAGTGAGTTGATGGATTTGTTCACCGGACAACATATCTTAACATAAGCTAAGTAAAATTAAAAATAGAGAAGAAGACGTTTGCAAGTGTCCGTACATCTACCAGATCAGGTGTCTTCTTCGTCATACTCAAGTAGATATGTTAGCTCTGACCGGATATCTCATCGGGAAACCTCTTCCACCACAACCAAACAACCACCTAGAAGAAATCTCTATCAAACACAAGAAAAACAACAGCAAAAGCAAGCTAAAGGACGGATGAGGACCGGCGTCGTGGCTGTGTAAGCCAAGGCACGCGGGTCTTAGATAAATTAGATTAGAGAAGCTGAGTTTCTAGAGAGATGATGGAACTTTCTCTCTCTAGCACATGATTTTTTTAAAAAATTTTGTATGTTACTATTATTTTTTTTTAGTTTTTGGAAACAAATCTAAATGAAGTGCCCTTCAAAGTCCATGAATCATTGAAAAGGTTTTTTTTTAGTGTAAATGTAAAAAAATAAGCATTAAAAAGATTCGCGAGGCATCCAACAACAAAATTTCACGTTGTTGAGAAAATGAAAAGGTTTCCATATATAAGGCACCACTTCGGATCTCTCATTTTTGCATGGTTTGAGTCGGAACACCGTTTTAAACTAACCTCTAAAATGTGGGTTTCAATTCTCAGAGAAGGTAAATGACGAATTATGCAGATTGGAGAAAAAGTTTACAAGAGATCTTCAGCATGGTGTAAAGCGTACCGTCAGGAATGGATCTCATAGGGCGGCTCAGGGTGATGCAGTCATATGTGAATCTGCATAAGGCATGTATAATTGTCGGCTGTACTATCGTCTATGTAATATTTCTCATAGTTTGTAATGCATAATGATCTAGTGTTAAAAAAAAAAAAAAAAAACTAACCTCTACAATGCTTTTATCTTGGAAATATTTGAGTTTCATCTTAGTACACCATAAATCATCACTTTCTTTGATTAGTTGTTGAAGTACAACCAACTCTTGTGAAATGCAGCCTACATGCTTCCTTCTCCCATTTCTTGTTCTTATGCTCTGTTTTTTTTGTTTTTGTTTTCTCTTTCTTGTGCAGGGCTAACCCAAACTTTAATAAGACCTTGTTCAAAATAAAATTTTAAACCCTTTTTCTTTAAAGTAATTTAAAAAAAAGATTGGACCCGTTTCTTAAGTTAAAAATCTCAAAATCATTATGGGCCCTAAGCAGTTGGTTATTTTGCATGCCCCATGGGCCGGGTCTGTTCTCGTGCAAGAACAGGTTTTTCTCAATATTCTTTTCATTCATTTCTTGCACACATTACAATAGATTTTTTTTTTTACATATGTATAGTAGTCATTCTACTAACTTAACACTATGCTACTTGCAAAATAACACTACTAACTACATAAAGAAAGAAATATTTATAGGCAAATTTCAAAATATAGTCATAATAAATGAATTACATATAAAATATGGGAACATGCTTGAAAACATAATGATTTTTGGTGTGTAATTAATAAATCAAAAAGTATTTCCATATTTATAATATAATCAAAACCAAAGTACTTTTTGGCCAGATACATTATTAACAAATCACTTATATATTAACTATTTGAAAAAATAAAATTAAGAAAAATTAAGTAAAAAAACTTATGTTTGAACTATAATCAAACTTTATATTCAATATATAGTAATTTTCCTGAATTCCAAAAGTTGTCAATTGCTTAACATATAAGGATTTTTGTAATTATTTGTGAGACTATAAATACTTAATATGTTTTTAATTTTATTTTAAATATGGAAATATCCATATATGTTTAAATTTGGAAGTGAAGCAATTTTTTGGTTATTAATTACACCAGAAATAATTAAATTTTAACCATATCCTCATCTATTGATATATAATTAATTTATTTAGATTGTATTTTACACAATTTTACCTATAAATACTTCTTTTCAAATTATTTTTATTAATATTTCAGTTATTTGATCTACAGACTTTGTTCCAAAGAAAAGAAAATTATTTTGTGATGGAAGCTCTAGGGACCAATACTAAACGTCGTCCTTGTTGTATTTGCATGTGGAAGACCAAAACATGCAACAAAAATTGCGAATTTGCTGCTTATTTTCCCAACGAAATGTATTTTCTCATATGTTATATCTCTTTTTAATTTTGTTGTTTATTATAATCATAATATTAATTTAGTCTAAAATTTATTTGATGTAGGCAAGGGGTTTACGCAAGTGCTAATAAGTTGTTTGGTACACCAAATATTATACGAATGATGAAACTTGCTCCTCAAGATCAAAAACCTATGTTAGCATTTTCCATACTTAAAGAAGGTGTCGCATGGACCAATGATAAAATCGAAGGTGGATTTGGAGTGATACAAAATCTCATGCGGGAGATCAATAGGCTTGAAGCCGACCTCTCTTACCTAAGGAAAAAGATTTCAGAAGAAAAAGAAAAAAAACAATTAGGTCTACTTTTAAACAAGTGATATATATATATATAGTGTCATTTATCTATCTTCATTTACCCAATAATAATTGCTCAAAGTTTTTTTTTTGTCAAAATGACATTATATTATTCAAGATTGAATTGATCCGGACAGCATACCAGAATAATTACTGAATGGTTAATCTTAATAAATGTTGAAGTTCAATATACGCTATGTGCAAAATATTGAATCTAAAGAAGCTTTTAGTGCAGTTGTTTTGAATTGAATGTGTGCATGTGTTATAGCGAGCCACTTTTTTATTAACTTAAATTTTATTACAAACCTATAAAAGGGATTTGAAATACTACACTGATTCTGATACACCGGAGGAAGGCATATTCTAAGTTACCGGTTTACCGCCAAGCGACAAACACCACAATAGACATACAATAAAACTTCTATAAATCAATAATGCTAGGACTACATTAAAACTATAAGTTTTTATTAATTTATAGAAATTATTAATTTATCAATATACTCATTGAACCAAAAACACAATTTGAAACTATAAATTATATTATTTTATAGTAATTTTTATTGTATATTAATTTATAGACTATTAATTTAAAAATGATATACTACTGTATGTAAAGAAGTAGAGGAATCTGGTGAGGGAGAGAATAAGATAAATAAATTAAAATACGAAATTTTGGTACCAATTTTAATGTTTATCTTAAACACATTTACTCTTAATTTTAAAGATATAAATAAACACCTATAACCCTAAGATTAACTTATCAACTTAAGGTTTAAATTTGAGAGGTGTGATTTAGGAATTTAATAAATAAATACTTAAAATTCTATATAAAAATTCTAAAAATAATTTTGAAATATAAAATTTGAAAAAAAAATATTTTACTTTGAAAAAATCACAATTTTGTTTTATAAAAAACTTCAAATTTGGAAACGTATAATTTGAAAACTATTAAATTTTTTTTTTTTTTCTATTTTATTTATTTATTAATAATTCTTTCTATTTATATATTTATAAAGCAGATGTATAATTGTATCTTGCCTACTTAATGAAACATCAACCTAGGTTATTTTTGAAATGTCTATTTAGACAAAGTAAACATGAGTAATGGTACCAAATAGATGGTAAAAGTGAAATTTCCTCAGAGAAGAACGGAGTTTAGAAATGATACATTTCAACAACTGAACACAAATGGTTGCAAATTAGATATGTCGCGGCTTCTCAGGGTTGGGATGTCCAATTCAACCAATAGATTCATCGACAGTTCAGTGTCAAAGCAAAGATTGGCTTTCAGAAGAGCCACATGGCTTCAAAACGCCGGATCCAAAAAAAACCCAACTCCTGAAACCCAAAACCCTAATTTCCTCTTAAATGTATGTTGCGTCGCTGTCTTACAGGTCTGAGAAAGCTGAGAATCAATTTTCCTACGCTTCGGTGGAGTGAAGAACCTGCGTCGGAAAAGTTACAAGGAACTGCTTTTCCCGGAAGAAGTCATGAAATCTTCAATGCCTTCACAAGATCCAGCATGAAACCCTAAATCCTGATGTCTGACTTGTTGATTCCGGCCTCCCTCCATCGTCTTGGAACAAAGAAATCAGACGTTGAATCTGACAAACCACCATGATCTCGAAGTTTCCGTTGAAGCCCACCGCTATAGGAACCTATCTAAATCATGGAGAATGATGGAGAGTGTCTCTTAGAAACACTTATTTGAGACTGTTCCGGGAGTGAGGACAATCCAAGAGAAAATGGTGTGGGTAAGAGCCCTTCGATGGTCCGACGAAGCCGCCAGAGGACGGAGAAACCAGTGGCAGGTAGAGAGGTGGGAAGGGGAACAGCTGCCCCATGTGAATTATTAGCAAAAAATGATTATCATTAAATTTTTTAAAATTTTATGAATAAATGTTCAAATCCCTTTTTTAAGTTCAATTTATATTTCCCCTGGTGATCTTTTTGCTGGCTGCCTAGCTCTGCCACATTGGGAGAGACTCTACCCAAAACAGTCAAGAGAAGAAAAAGTTGAAAGTAAAAAGGTTGAGCGCGACCAGGTGATTTTGGTCGAGTGGTAAGGAGGTAGTGGTTAGCACGCTAACACGTTTCACCTTTGATTTACCTGTCGCGTGAAACTAAGTCACAATTATTTGTAGTCACATAACACGGGTATGAAACCATGCTTTAGAACCCATTTGAATGCCCAGGAGAGTCTATCGGTGGTCTGCACCCAGGGGTGAAGCTAGGAGTTTTGGCTAGTGGGTGCACTTTTGATGATAAAAAAATAAATGACATAGTTAAGAGTTGAATTGGGGTTTTTATGGGTGCACATCCCACCTTTTACCATTTATTCTAACCAATTTACATGTTTACTCTCAGAAAAATTAGAAATATCAAAAATATTATGGGTGCACATGCACCCATAACGTAAACGGTGGCTTCGCCCCTGTCTGCACCTCCTTGAGTATTAGTCTGAACTTTTCCATGGATTTGGGATACCTTCAGGTTAAAAAATAAAAATAGAAATAATAATAAAAATAAAAGTTGAGCATGTATTTCCACACAAAGGTTTGTTTTTTGATAAATCTTTGCGTCACTTTTATGTCTTTCGTCTCTCTGCTCTTCCGTTACCAAAATTTCTAGGTTTAACTTAGGGTTTGGTGTCTTCAAATTTTGTTGTGGTTATATCATGTTGGATAGTAATATAACAGTTGATTGTCCAGGGTTTCGTGGTAATAATATTTAAGGAAAATATATTATATTTACAATATATAATTTTATATCAACATTTGAACTTTTTAACTTAAAAAAGTTTGATAATAAAAAATTCACAATATATTTTTAGAAAAATTATGAAATTTAAAATATTTCAACAGTATAATATTTTTTTGAATGGCAACAACACCATAAATCTAAGTCACTAAAATTCTTTCTTTTACATGGAAGCAATATCGTAACTGGTTCATGTAATTATATGTAGAATAAACTTTTATTTATTTTAACACGTGAAAACATAAATAACTTAGTCTTCAAGAGAAAGAAAAAAAAAGTTTTTATGTAGGTCCAAAACTATAGTCGGAGGCTTCAATAGCTCTGACATCGACTTTGCTGATTTGTTTTCATTTTAGCAAGGATAAAAATCTAAAATCATCAACTGTTAAAATTGTAGCAGTTTTGTAAATAAATTCTCATTTAATATATAATAAAAAGTGTGATATAATTTTATATCATTTATAAATCTGTATAAATATACATTTATACCATTATAAATATATTCATAACCATTTACAAACAAGGATTTATAATACTTATAAGTTTTTTTGTGGTTCATAATGTTTGCAACTCTTTGATTACATGACTTAAATTACTGATATCACTCAAATGTTTAACCCTAAGAAGTGAATTACTCTCTCAAATAAGAGGTTCAGTTGTAGTACTTAGGGATCGAATCCACAGGGAACTAAGGAACACAATAGATGTAATCCTAAATGATTATGCTAGGTTGATTAGGTTTAAAATAGTAAATTGCAGTTTTATAAGCAATGATAAGTTGCTTAAGAGAATGGGTTTAGGTTTAAAACAATAAAAGAAAGTAGTTAGATTTAAGTTGCTTTTCAGATAATCAGGATTATAATGTTATAGATGTTTTAATGAATTGCTTGCAAGATATATGAGAACTTCGATTCCTAGACAGATCTAATAGCAATCGCTAAATAGACACATCTATTGATCTTATTGCCAGCAATATCGACGGATGTTTTGACAGCGATATCGGACGATATGGGTTGCTGTCGATCGATGACTCAATAGGAGTATCGATCGATATAGCATAAAATCGAATCAAAACTTTGTTCACCAAGATCATAGACCGGCTCTCGCACAACCCTAGAGGATCTAAGCTCATGCCAAATGATTTCAGGACAATGATTAACAAGTTAAATCACATCCATGATCATACTCTAGGTAGCTACTCTAGAGTAAGCATTAGGGTTCATTTGGATAATGAATATCAACAATTCAACATTCCAAAGTTGGGGCTAATCCCTCATAACTATTTGAACCCTAAATCTAACAAAGAAATCTACTCATACATAGCTGGGAGATTCATAACAGCAAGGTAGTAATAAAAACTCATAGATTAGAAGATTGAACTTTTGGTTCTTGGAACAACAAATCTCTTTGTGTGTTTCTTCTAAATCTAGAATTCTATAACCTTTAAGAAATTAAGAGGAAAAGAAATACTTTATTGCTAGGTATAGAATAGAACAAAGGAACAAGAAAAGTATGCAAAGCTTTTCAAGTACAAAAGTAACTAGAACAATAGAAACATTCAAAAAGCATGTCTAGCCAAACACAATGGCAAAAACTGTAAATATGAGTTCCATTAGGTTAAGAACTCGTCAGGGGAATTATTGTAATATTGAGAAGACTTGGGCTTCAAGTCGGCCAAGTTGGACTTGCTCTCCACGCATCATATCGATCGATGGAGTATCTCGACTTCATCTTCAATAGAAGCGTCATTGATCGATTACACAGGGTGTGTATCTATCGATGTGTGTCATCGTTGTCTGATCTTATAGTCATCTCGGAAAACTCTCATTTAAGCTCCAAAAGGGCACCTAAATCATCACTTTACTCTAAAGTGCTCTTGAACCTGAAAACATACCTAATAGACTCCAAAACATATATAAACCTTTAAGTTTTTTGTCACAAAAATAGAACTCAAAAACTAAAATGACCAAAATAGCATTTTTTATTTTGAAAATTTTAAGTTTTTTTTTGTATTTTTAAAAATTGGAAGTCCTATCCCCAAAACCCCACTCCTCAAATCTAAACAAAAATATAGGATTAGTTAACCAAAAGATTATAAATGTAAGTTAACTTACTTTTTTATAAAACATTTAAGTCTCTTTTGGTCATTTTTATTGTTAAGGTCTATATTTGTGACAAAAATGTTTTTAGATCTATCTTAGGGAATTTCTCAATAATATTTTACATACAAATCTATTTATTTATAAAAGCATATACAACAATT